CTGCTAGGTAGTTGTCGGTGGTGGATACGTAAACCGTGATGGTAAATATGTGGTGGGTGTAGCAATATTCCCAAAGAACTGCTAGGTAAAGAAGTGTCATGGAGTGGGTGCCGCCTTGTTGGTTATGTAATGCATCGTGGTCATGTTGTCTTTCACCAGCTGAACAGCATGACCGTGGAGAAGCGGGAGGAACGCGCGGAAAGCTTTTATTACAACCCACATCTCTAGGTGGTTGATGTGAAGATGCTTCTCTTTGGTGGACCATAAAGCATGAATCCTGTGGGTCTCGCAATGGGCTCCCCAGCCTCTCGTGCTGGTGTCTGTTGTCACTTGTATTGTTAACTGAAGTGATCAAAATGGACGGCCTACGAGAAGGTGAGGGGGGAAAACCTACCACCTGAGCTGCTGAGCAAGCTCTGGGGTCACTCTGAGACATTTTTCTTGATCGTCCGTCATAGGGTCGAATAGTGTCAGAAACCAAGCCTGTAACAATCTCATTTTTAGGCGAGCATGTTGAACAGTGGCAGTGGTTGAGGCCATGAGGCCTAACAGGTGCTGCGCATGGCGAGCTGATACTGTTTGGTGCGGCCAGAAACGCTGTATGGCTTTCTGAAGCTTCTTTATGCGAGCGGTAGGAAGTGAAACGCGAGCAGTGAGAGAGTTGATTGTCACGCCTATATAATCTGCCACCTGAGATGGACAGAGCCAGGACTTTGACCCGTTGATTCTTAGCCCGAGGCAGTTCAAGGTGTGCAGGACAAACTGAGTGTTCTGGATCGCTTGCTGTGGAGAATCTGCGACGATGAGCCAGTCGTCTATGTAGGGGTAGATGGCTATGTCGTGTAGTCGAAGGTATGCTGCAATGGGGGCCATGTGCTTGGTAAAGGTGTGAGGGGCGGTACATAACCCAAAAGGAAGGGCAGAGAACTGAAAAATTGTGTCTTGAAAATAAAATCGTAGATATTTTCGATGCTGAGGATTAATGGAAATGTGAAAATAGGCGTCTTGAAGATCTATGATGACAAACCAGTCTCCCCGTCACAGCAAGTGGAGTATGCTTTCTATTGTTACCATGCAGAACTTTCTTGTGTGCAGGTATAGGTTTAATGTTCGAAGTTCCAGAATAGGACGGATGTCTCCGCCCTTCTTGGGGACGGAAAAATAGTGGGAATAAAAACCGTTGCTTGCTTGACTGTGTGGGACAACTTGTATGGCATGTTTCTGAAGACTGTGGATTTCTTCCTGCAGAGTCGGATCAAATTTTGAGTGTCTGATGTGACCCAAAGGGGGAAGTTCTATGAATTCGAGTCGATAGCCGAACTGAATGATGTCCAGCAACCATTTGTCGTCTGTGACGAGTGACCAGTTTGGGAAGAACTTTGCAAGGCGAGTTTGTGGATGGGGTGGTGTGTTAAGTGTTGTCGGAGAGTCAAAGATAATTCTTCATTTTCTTGGCAGGTGGACGGTAGGACTGCCGACGATGAGTCTGGGTGAGCGAAAGGTAGCAGCAGAAGTTGAGGGCTGAGGAAGTCTGGTATTAGGTTGTTGTTTGAAGGAACGGTAAGTTTGTGAAGAAGAAGGTAAGTATTGATTAGCAGTGTAAGGTTTACGCCACTGATAAGGTTGAAATCTAGATTGCTGATGAATTGTATAGGACTTCGCAGTCTTCTTCATTTTGTGAAAACTTTCCGTGGATTCATCTGTCTTGTCATTGAAGATCCCTGTAGCATCAAAAGGGAGTGCTTTTATGCGATTCTTGGCGTCTTCATTGATACCAGACAATCTGAGCCAGGCATGGCATCGCAGAATGATAGAGGAGGTCATGGTCTTGGAAGCAATGTCAGCAGAATGTCTGGAAGCAAGAAGCTGATGCTTGGCTACATTAGAGGCTTCTTCAAAGGTGTTGAGGAAAAAGGACCGGACGTCATCTGAAGTGTCTTCTAAAGCAGGTAAGACCCTTTCCCATAGTTGCATCTTGTAAGCAGCCATTGCTGCTTGATAGTTAGCGACTCTAATTAAAAAGGTAGTGAAAGTATACATTTTTCTGCCCAGAACATCTAACTTCCTTCCCTCTCTATTGGAGGGGGTGGTGTGGGTCTTTGATGAAGTTTTAGACTGACTGGATTGTACAATGATAGAGTTAGGGATAGGATGTTTGGTCAGGAATGCAGCGCCCTCGCCATGGGTTTTATAGTAGTTTTCGACTCTCCTAGTCACCTGTGAATACGTTGCTGGGGCAGACCATGATTCCTTGACTGAGTTCATGAGAGAAGGAATGAAAGCAATACTGAGTGGAGGTGCTCTGTCCTTGTCAATTCTGCCAAAAACAAGATCATCAGTAGGAGGTGGGGGTTTCTCAATGTCCAGTTTAAGGGCTCTCACCATACGGGACACCATCTGTACGTAAGAGGAATAGTCTTCAGAAGATGAAGAAGCGTGGATGTCAGGAGTTCCTTGTTCAGATGGAGCCTCAGTGATGGACTCATCATCTGATCTCTCCGATGGCGCTGAGAATGGGGCAGGGGATTCCTGTGAGGGATAGCTGTCCCCTGGCAGAGATGGTTCTGGAGAGGATGGTCGAGTAATTGCTCTATGTGGCTTCCTAGGGGCTGCCCCAGAGAGGGGCGCAGCAGAGGAAGGTGCTGCTTTCTGCCTAGTAGAGGCTATTCCCAATGAGGTGCACTTATGGGAGTCATCAGCCTTTCGGTGTTTGTGCTCCGTTTTCGGTCCCAACGAGTGATGTGTCGTATATTTTTCTCGAGGACTGTGTCAGGGGGGTGAGGGTGAGGGAGATGATGAAGAGGCATCGATGTAGCAGACCCTCTTTCTTGGGCATCGTGCCTTATCTTCCGACCAAGAATCTTGAGCCATCAGCGATGCCTCGACGCCAGTGGAGGCGGTCGAGATCGATTACATAAGGTCCTTTGTTCTCCTCCTTTTCCTGGCGCCGAGCCGCCCAGCCGCCCTTGGGAGGATGACAATTTCCCTTCTAGAATGGTGGCAATGAGGGGAGGAGAAATGTTTCAACTTCACTGGTGAGACCGGGACTGGCGATCGTGAAATGGATGGATGGATGACGCCCGCCCGGCTGACGCAGGGCTGAGAGGGGCAGAACCGGCACTAGAGATAGGCGCTTCCTCTAGTGGGTGTGGGCTAGGTGAACGGCTAGGTGAATGGCTACGCCTCCTGGCTGACACTGATCCCTGCCACGGAGGAATAGGCTCAATATCCCCAGGGTATTTTTCCGTAATGCCTTCTTCTTCCTCCAGAATCGGGGATGGTGGTGAACTTGGAGCATAGCCATTCCTCCCCTTTGGCAGAAGGGCCCTTTTTAGATCTAGCAGAAACCCTTTCCTTTTCCTTTTTCAGGTGGTCTGTGGTGGAAGATTTTGCTGCCCTCGAAGTTGCTTTGTGGGCAGGAACCTCAGAAGAAGAAGCCGGGGCAACGGAGACACTGGGCGCCGGTAAGGCTGCACGAGGTGCCGAGGAAGAAGACTTTTTTGCTGGCTTCTCTGCTTTAGAGACGAGCTGAGGGGGTGATGACGTAGCTCCGCGCTCAGATTTTGACCCCAGAGAGACAGTTGGGGAGGACTCCATAATGGTGGGCGTTAAGGCAGACAGAGTGGCTTCCCAGAGAAAAAAGCGGAGCCGCTGCTGGCACTCTCTGAGGGCAGCTTTAGTAAAGTTTTTACAGTGGCTACAAGATCGAGCCAAATGTCCCTCTCCCAGGCAAAATAAACAATTCTCGTGGCCATCTGAAAACGGTAGCCTTCGGTCACACAAGATGCATTTCCTAAAGGGGCCCGAGGGGGACATAAAATTAGCACGGAGACTCACGGATCGGGCCCAAAGGCGGGCTCTGGTGTGGTCAGACAGTCCAAGGTCAAGCCGGAGAGAGGGAAAGAACAATCCAAATTGCAAAAACAAGAACGCAGTCCAAATCCAGTCCAAAGTAGGGGCACAAGTAAGCAAAGAATAGTCCTTAGACGAAAAGTAATCAAAAAGGCTGATGAGGCAGTCAGTAAGAAGAGCTCTAACAAGGAGTTCCTAACACGAAGGCGGTAAAACGAAACTGAGGCTAAGGGCGGGCGGAGCGTGCGCTGTAGGGGCACCACTTAATTAACTTGTTTTTTCTCTAAAGCTCTAGAAATTTCTGAGGATTCCGGCGCAGGCGCGGACTTAACCCTATAGTGTGCATTCACAGAGGCCACGTGGAGAATTCTCATGTAGACTTATTTGGAATATGGCCAAAATATAAATGCAATGGTTGAAAGATCTAGCAAGTTGACAAGTAGGGGATTATCTTTTTCTTGCACTGCCTGCAACTTTTAAAAGTATGCAAATGTCTAGGAAATTCAGTATCTCTATTCAAAGAAAAATGTTTGTTCCAACTGTATTGTTTGTGTTTTTGTTAAACCCCACAACCTCTAATTGAGGATGCAGATCTTTCCAGTACTTGTGCTTCATGCTGCAGTATTTACTAAACTGGTAAGAGCTTGTTTGGGGAGGTCTAGTGTGCAGTATTCACAGGCTTGTTTTTACTGTACTTGCCCATCTGTCATTGCTGTAAAGCTGAACTATTTGCCCATGCCCTTGAACCCTGGTACTCTTTTTGTATTACACACCAGCACACATGAATCTGCCACCAAGTGGACAGAGACAATCCCAATTTTCTACACTACACATGGATGATACATATTTTGATATATCTTTCATATTTGGAAATTAATACTTTTCAGGTACATTTAAAGAATAATATGTGTGCTGTATTCCTAAAAACTATTTAGCCAAAGTTAAATCACTTCTAACTCTCATCAATATCAGTAGGACAGTTATATACAAAAATCTGAAGCTTCCCCATTGAAATCCACTCAAGTTGGACTGGATTGTGCCCACATTTTGTAAAGATGGACTTTGTGTGCTAATACTGTTAAGAGATCTAGAGAAATGATCCAGCAAAAGGAAGAAATACAACTCAAGAACAAAACAGCCAGAATCTCTTCTTTCTTTCTTCTTTATTGATACTGCCAGTGTGACTACCTTTACGCAGGTAGATTGCTTTCCTACATAACATGCACTCTTTTGGGATTAATTTGTAACTAGCATTTTTGCCCTCTACACCTCCTATAATTATCAAATTAGCACAAAAACTTGTACCATAATCCTTTTCCACATTTCCCTTTTAAGTAATAGCAATCATTTCTTTTCTCTCTCTCTCTCTGTCTGTGTAAAGGTTACTTGGCAAGAGTATACATGCACATGACAATAAAATGGAGACCAATCCACCACTAAAAGGTAATGCACATAAAAACATAATCCAGTACTTTGACATTTCAAATAAATACCCACATAGAGATGTAATTCAAAAGTAATCATGAATCAATACTGCAACCCAAAAGATGAAAACATTAAGTCCCCACCTTCTAGGAATAATAAAATTTCTTCCAGCAAACAGAAAGCTTTTTCCAATGACATTATTACAATTTCTATTCCTTTTTCTTTTTAGAGGAAAGTTGGCTTCTCCTTCCTCAAGCAGTACCAAATTTAATCATTCAAAATTAGCTTCAACAAATAGTACCGGTAGGTACATCTTGTTGACGCCCAGCTATGTTTCTGTTTCCTGAAATTACAATGGATTAGATATAACATGCAAGAGAAAAATATTAAACGTCGTGTTTGTCTTCTTCACATTTGCACACAATACTATGGTTAACTGGATCCACCACCATACAAAGCTACCAGAACACCAATATTTTTCCAAACGTCCTCTGTACTGCAACCACAAATGTGTTAACACATCTTGCTTATTATTTTGTTCATTTTGGTTTGCAAAGTTTACTCGGGTTTTAACATTTGTTTGCTTCATTTTTATTCTAAACCCCTGAATTTGCATGATGAAGTATCATTGAGTAACAGAATTTTTTACAATTTGCACACGTCTCCTCTCTGTAGTAGGTCTACCCATTTTAAAATGTGCAATCTGGGAGTCTGCTTTGCCCTTATTGCTCCGCATTCAGTACTAGGTTTCCAAAACTGTGGTTTCTTTCTTCTTGGACATACTCAGCTAGCCTAGGCGTCTCCCTTTAAAATTATGAAAGGCACTACTGGCAACAATTAAATGACAAAAAGGCGCTGAAATAGAACAGCCTAGCACTGACAACTTTAGAATTTGTCTTTCTAAAATGTACCACAACTTGGCACAATAAAACAAAGTAGTAACAAAAACACAATTCCAATTTGGAATTTAAGTGGTATAGTTGTATAAAATTCTGTTAACCAATCATACGCCATAAGACTTTCCTAAAACCCAGACATTCTGGAATTTATAGGTAACACTAATATTTATTTTCAAGTGCCTATTAACTGTTTTTAACCAGAGCAAAGTCAAGTTTTCTTCTTGTTACATTGAACTATTCCTAAGAATAATAATACAATATGAAAAAACCCCAGAATTTGAATACCCTGGATTTCTCAATTAACATGGCAGTTAAAAATCAGTAATTTAAAACAGATAAAGCTTAACATTTTTAATTAAAAAAGAGAAAAGAGAGTAACAGCTGCTGATGCACAGCACATATATAGTTTAGTAGAACTCCTGGTTTTCTGTTGAAGCTCTTTCCTAAACTCAATGTAGAGCAAAACAATACAGGATAAAACTCTGCCAAACACGGAGGGGAACACGTCAAGCACAAGCCCCAAGTGGAGACAGACTATTAGCGTTAGGTCATTGGAGTTTTGTTTTCTTTAATATAAACTCTTCTACAAAAAGAATAAAAAGACGTTAAAGTAAATATCAAAATATTAAAAGTGCACAGGTTTAAACAATCAAACTGTTGTTTTCTTTTTTTAAAAAAACTGAATGCTCTATAATGAAATCAAAAGGGAGAGGGATACCCATCTGAATGTTTCCAAGAAGCCAAAAAAAAAAAAAAAAAAATAGCAACCATGGCAATTCTTACATTATGGAGTAAGTTTCTTCAGCATTTGTAAGTTTTCTTCCTGCAGCAGCACTTAATGAATAAAGCTTTACTTGTTTGTATCAAGTCATAATTTGCCAAAAAGCAAACGGGTGGGTTGGGTTAGGGGGACCCAATGCAGATTGCGTACTGCAAGGTTATGTGGTGTGTTTTGCTTTGTTTTGTTTTTTGCTTGGGGCAGGGGAGAGGTTCATTATGAGTGGTTTCCATTCTTTGTGCAACGGGCTACCACCACTTCTAACCGTAACGACACAGGCTAAGATACGAAGTTGCACAGGTTGCAAAGGCCTTCTCCGGGAGGGACTACTCTACAGCTGGAAAGTGGAAAGTAAAAAAACACAAAAATGAAACATTAGAAACCAGAGTGGGGGGAAAAGTCATTCTTCAGTTCAAGAAAGGAAAACTCTCTCTCACACACGCACACATGCGCACACGCACACGCACACACACACACATGGGTGTGCTGCAAAAGGTCCATATCACATTAGTTAGGTAAGGATCATCTGTTAGTCTTCTATGGTAAAGCAGCCAAGGTAACTTATCGGTGCTTTCCAAGCATTTGAAACAATGCTTTAATGCACTGCCTGTTAGCAAAAGCTGTGCAGGAAGAAAAGGCGCTTACAAGTCCTGAATCAAGCGACACTGCTCAAGCAGAAACAAATAGCAGTGAGTATGCAGAAGAAACTTATCAAGGAAGCTACAGCCTCTCCCCCCCCCCAAAAAAAAAACATGCAGGTCAATCAGTGGGTCATGCCAGCCAATGCAGAGATCAGTAAAACCATTCAGGAGAAAATGTCCTGCTTGCCGAGGTAGGTGATGGCTTAGTTAAGTTTTCCATGCTGCATCCCAACTCAACGACAGCAAAATGAGACATCAATATAGTAGGTGTTAATTTGAGAAAGCAGATAACCCATCAAGCAGAGGTTTCACCAAACACCACTTAAGTTTACACACAACAACAAATCACCTTTGAAAATTCTTTTGATTTTTTTCCCCCTTAGTTGGGTTTAAAACTAGTCAGACACCTACCAAGAACACAGGTAAGGGTACATCCGGGTTTTGCAACCTTCTACATATAGCTATTGTTGATGCTCCAGATATAAAGTGGTGCAAGGTTGAAGCCTCTGTCTACAGGTGTAGAACAATGGAACTGATAACAATGGAAACTATAATAATCGGTTTGTTGAATACTCCAAAACGTTAAATAGTATGTTATATCCAGCAATATGAACTTGACACACTGTGGCCATGCCGCAACACCGAGACCTCTCTATTTTCTTTTAACTAGCTTAAAACCTTGCCAATGTAATGGATTTCTTTAAAATATCCTTTTGCTCTCCCAAAAGTATTCTGTGTTATGAGCACCACCCCAGAAAAGGATACAGAGAAAATAATTATTAACAGCTCCCCGTCAACATGGGGAGCAACAAGGGTTTGTTGCTTCTAATGGAGCAAAAATATCATTAAGAGTTTAAATGCCCAGTTATTTCCAAGGCATTTTATTAAAAAGGAGGGGGACAGGGGAAGGGCTAAAAAGGCCTTCTGGATTATTGTGCATCAAAGAGGACAAAAGTAGGGCTGAACATTGTTACAAGGTGCTGTTTCTAAAAACCTTAAAACCTGCTAAACATCATTATTAAAGCTCAAATTCAGGAGACTGCAGTGTTTCCTGCAAACGCAATGGTACCACAAGGCATAAAGGGGGAGACGCTAATCAAACTGTTTGAAAATGCTGCTCACATTTGCCAGTCCTTAAATGGGATTGGCCAATGTGTATATTAAACAGGATGGTTTATAACTATTTATGTTGCAGCAGGCAGGCTACCTTAATTTCTAGATGCCGGTTTCTCCATTTAATAATTTTTTAAATTTACATCCTAGTGTGTAGATCTTTGTTGTTGTATGCTCAAGACATCGAAGGCTTACTTTGAATGGCTTCTGCCCGGAAAGCAAGCTGCCCTCCTCTTCATCACCTTACAGTAACATTGTTATTATTTCCTAACTATGTTTATAGGCAGAGCAATACAGAGGAAGCAGGTGCTGATAATCTAAAAAGAGCCAGTGATACAAGATGAGGCAGTACAACACCAAGATTATTGTTAGCATGGCTTTAGGGAAATAAAATATTACTACTATCAGCAGACACAGCTGTGCAGCCCTGTATCGCATCGTAGTAATAGTCTAAGCATACAAAGTTATTTGAAAAGAGTACAAAATGAACAGGGCTTTACATTAAAATAATGTTTGAGGCTAGGCACTTTTGAATTCTTTTGTTTCTTCTTTTTTATAATGTGCCTTGCTTGTGCTCCTTAAATTCACCAATTTTAAGAACATTTTCTCCCCTGTCTTGCTGCATTACCACTTCTATATAGGCACCAATTATGAAGTACACTTTTTCAAAGTTATCAAATGTATTGAAATTAAGTGGCTAAAAAGGCCCTTTAAAAGTTCAATAGTGGATATTGAACTTTTAAATATATATCTAAATATATATATATATTTGTGGATGAGTAAGTATAAGCTAACTTATTTCGTATTTATGTATTAGAAAGAATAAACTGATTAATTAATTTCTGGTGCCTAGAATGTAGAGCCCTGTTTGCATGACAAATGCAATTTCTCTCTCTCACTCACTTCAACAAGACTTAGAGCTCTGTAATACTATCCTATGAAGCCTTAATACTGACACTTAAGGAGAGTTGCATTGCAAATTGACAATACTAGCACATACTCCTGTTTATTTTGTACATATATACTGCAAGATACAGTAAGAATGTTGAATGATAAGCACTTTTAAAAGCCCATTGCTTAAAGCTGGAGAGAGTTAAGCACTTGTTTAACTTTCAGAATGAAACCAAGGAGATTTAAATGAATTAAATTTTGGCTAGAAAATTCCCAATCACACTGTGGGAAGCAACAATAGGATACAACAGAAATTTTTGCAGTATATCCCACAACATATTTGCTCTGAAGGATTCAGATCCTAATTTCTTCCAGCTTGTTTCTTTCTTTTCTTCTGGAACACATTTTGTTCAAGAAGAACAAAACAAGTAATCCAGAAGAACAGAACAAGTAATATTGCATAACTCCTTTATACTTAAGAGTGCAATCTTCTATAGATTAACCTGCTGAAATTAAGCAGGGGCAAGGTTTCCAAAAATATCCTTCCTACCGGGTTGTTCCAGCATTTATAAGAAAGCCTTTTGGATAAGGTAAGTGGTGATTTTTGGCAGCAACTGACTGCCACAGCAGATTTAATTTCAATTTGGTTCTATTTTTAAGCACAGATGCTCAAAAATATATTATACATCTAGTTTTAGATGTTGTGTTTCACCACTTTTCCAACATACCAAGAAAGAAGACTTGTTTCCCTGTGACATTGTTACTTGAAAAATACTTGTAACCCAGGGGAAAGGATAATATTTGTGCTATAGAAGCTACTGTTAGAAACTCCAGGTACAGTAGACCTGGCATGCACCGTTAACACCTTTAACATGGCCAGCAAAACCAAAGTTGCTCATGGAGGAAAGAGCCAAATGCTTCTCCCCATTAACAGCATCCCCCCACCCCATGCGTGTGAATCCGTTACAGTTAAGACCATTATAATACAGCCTGTATTACATGGTTTAACAACGTACTAGTACAAATCCACCCATCACTGCAACATTAATATAGTGGGGATTTATGCTGACACTCAACAGCACAGACATCAGATGCATATGGATGGCCTCCTACTCATCTTAATCACAATAGATCTTATATTTCTCACTGCAAAACACCTGGTTATTAAGAACAGACCCTTCCGACCTGTCTCCACAGGACCGTATATGACTTACGCTGGGGTTACTACTCTTGGCTTTGGAAGCAGATTTTGTGCGCACCCTTTTGGACTGCTCATGGTCCAGCTCAAGATGCTCAAGGCGCTGGGTCAAAGCCAGCTTTTGCTGAATGGCCATACGAAGTAAGGAGTTCAGGGTCTTCTTCTCATCTTCAGCTGCAGCTAGCTGGCGTTGCATTTCGTCCAGCTGGGTGACATATTCATCACACCTGGAATGAAAAATAAACGTTAAGGCACCAGAACATTTGAGTACCAGCGTCCAAGTGTTGGCTGGCATATTTCTTTTAATCCCATTTCTGATGCACAAGAGTAACTGACCCTAAATGAGCAGTACAACAGACACAAGTAATAAAAATCTGGCTGGATAGCTCAGTGTTTTGGATATCTGCCTCTGGTGCCAGAGGTTGGGAATTAAGTTCACTACCATGCATCCTGCAATTAAAGCCAGCCTGTGTGGCCTTGGGCAAGCTGCACAGTCCTAGCACACCTCTAGGAGAAGGGAACGATAAGCTACTTCTGAGTATTCTCTACCTGGAAAACCATGCAAAGGGCTGCTGTAAGTCAGAAATTACTTGATGGCATATTAACAACAACTCAACTGTGGATGGAACACACGTTGGTGATCTCCACAGTCATCGGTGCTTTGGGAACAACATCAAGAAATTTCACACAGTATTATAAGCAGTTGCAGGTCTCAGAAAACACCATCAGAGCTACAAAAAATAGCAATATTAGGAACAACATACATATTGTGCTGATATTTAACAGATACTTAGTTTTCTGGTTAAAACTTGTATCTGTTATATAATACATGTCAACAATTTTTTTTTTTTGATTGACTCTGCTTGGTGTTTTTTGAATAATAATAATAAATGATCAGTTCCAAGACTGTTGGGTCCAAAAGGCAAAGGAATTTTGCGTATGTGGCACAACTGTGATACTGCAGCGTGTTTTCAACAAGTGAACCCCATATAGACAAACACTGTTGTGGTTCTTCTGTACTGTCAAGTTGGAACTGCCTTATAAAGTGACCCTAATAGGGCTTTTCAAGGTAAGTGAGATACTTAAGGAGTGGTTTTACTTGTTTCACACCCTCTGTGAGCTTCCGCGACTGAGCAGGGATTTGAACCTTGTTCTCCTGATTCCTAGTCCATCACTCCCTCCACCACCATGCTGGCTATCCTAAACAAACATACAGCACCTATAATAAAGGAATGGTGCTATGCTGTTAGTGTGACATATCTTCGAACTACAAGTTAACACTATCTCAGACTAGCTTTTAGTGACTCAAAACTGATTGCACAATGGAGAATTAAACTTCAGTGCTGATAATGTAAAAGTTACATTGTTTCTTGCTATTTCTGTTCTCTGCCTCACCAGGCTGTACATTCTAATTAGGACAAGCAGATAGGACTGGAACACAGGACCAAGTAACTACGTGATGTTATATTTTCAAAATGGATTAAATAACCATCTTTGGCTTCTTCATCCTACAGCCCTAAGGGCTGCTGGAAAGCAGTCTTTCGCCTTGAGGGCTAATTCAGTTTTGTCCACTCTGATCATTTTTAAATGGTTATGAATTGCAAACATTGGGCCCATATCATGCCCCGCAGTTCAAGCTGCATGTTGGCTTCTCTCTTGGTCCTTTAAAAAAAAACAAAAAACAAAAAACAGAACAGCTATTACCTATAAAAATGTTGGTAATTCTCATCAGCTAGCACAGGACACTGTAATTATTGTTCATTGGCTTTTCCTTGCCGGGAGGTATCTGTAATACATTTTATGTAAATACAGCAGAGTTATATAAAAGGAGCATGCAGGATCATTCCAGGACTTGTCAAAGACTTGCGGACTCTTCTGCATCATAGCCAACACTGACTGAAGGTAGGGCATGCACATATATGTACACACATTTTTGCAGAGGAATCCACTGGAATAACCCAATAGCTAAACTGAAGAGTGCATTTTCCCCACCACTAAGATCCGGCACTATATTTCAGAGGTACTCTTCAGAAGGCTGCTGGGATGTCAGGCTGACTCCTAACCGCTCAAGTGCAATGTAGAAAAGCAAGAGAGAAAAATCAGAGGGGGAAAGCGATAAAATTGAAGTGGACTTGTCCATGGAAGCTTACATTTAAAAATATATATATATATAAAAGTTAGTCTTTAAGGTCCACTAAGATCCGGCACTATATTTCAGAGGTACTCTTCAGAAGGCTGCTGGGATGTCAGGCTGACTCCTAACCGCTCAAGTGCAATGTAGAAAAGCAAGAGAGAAAAATCAGAGGGGGAAAGCGATAAAATTGAAGTGGACTTGTCCATGGAAGCTTACATTTAAAAATATATATATATATAAAAGTTAGTCTTTAAGGTGCCACCACATAAAGCGATAAAATTGAGGTGGACTTGTCCATGGAAGCTTACATTTATATATATATAAGTTAGTCTTTTAAGGTGCCACTACATTTTTGTTTTTTACTTTTTATTTCTGTTTTGCTTTTACCTATAAAATTCTTCTTGTTTGGTTCTTACAAAGCTATGAAACAGGAATGCTTTGCCCACCCCCCACTCACCATCATGGAGAGTTCGCCTTTTCAGACATGACCATTTTATATCACCAAGCCAGGTGGCAATTTCAGGTGAGATGGCAAAGTATTCTGCATGTCTTTAAGCTTCCCTAAAATTCTCAATGCATTAGTGAAGGCCACCACTCAGGGGTAGAGCAGATCCTTTGTATGTGGAGGTCCCGAGTTCAATCCCTAACATTTCCAGGTGGAATCAGAAAAGAACTCCGCCTTAAGCCCTGGGGAGCAGTACTGAGGATAGGTGGATCAAGAGTCTGACTCTATGTATGGCAGCATCATTTTATGTCCCTACAATGTATAGGAGGGATATATTTTTAAAAGAAAAAAAACAGGAATAGTTACTAATTCCTGTTCAAACCAATTGGCAGTTTCACACCACCACCACTCCATTCATTTATTCATTCGTTCGTTCGTTTATTGGATTTCTATCCCGCCCATCTAGACCAAAGGTCTATTCTGGGTGGTTTACAAATTTAAAATTTTATGTCCACATGACATACACACTGATAACTTACTTTGGAAATGGCAAGGCAAAGCAGTCTATCAGCCTCCATACAATAGCCCATCTGAGACTCCCAATAACAATAATAATAATAACAACAACAACCCCAAACTCCCAATAACAATAAGAACAACAACAATCGCTGTCATCATCATCACCACCACCAGCACTACTACTACCAGCACTTTGCCTTCAAACGCTATCATCATCACCACCACCAACACTACTACTACCAGCACTTTGCCTTCAAATTCTTTCTGTTTTTTCCATACAAGTCAAAACACATTCTAGGCCAAAAACACAAGAGTGTGTTCTGTGATGAGAACTACTGAGATGCAAGGGGCTTCTCACATCTGGTACTAGACATTGCTTTCTCACAGTACCATGTCTAGCACCCTCCCATCAGAAAGCTTTAAGTCTGGCACATCTATTAATGTTGAATTCAAAGACCATCCAGCTAACTAACAAAACAGCACACATGTACTGTACAGAGATAGGGATGGTAAACCTTCGGCACATCATGAATTGTGGACCTCAGCATGACCAATGGCAAGAGACTGTGAGAGCTATCATTCAAAATGCTCAGCTGGCCAAATTTATTTGATTCTTTCACTATCTTATGGAGCTTCTACTTCAAATTCTACTTCTTACACTGAGAATGAAGCCAGTTTATTTATTTAAATGTGATACCATTAAAAGTCCATAGTGCAAAATAATACAAGTTTCCATGCTATGTTACTGCTTAATAAGCAGGTGGTGAACGTTTGGCCCCTCAGGTGTTCTCTTACAAACCCCACAGATTTGGCCATAATTGGGTGGACTAAGAGTGGATAAAAATCAATTATATATATATAT